GCCGCAAATGGCAGCCAGGACGCTGAGCTCCGTGATTCTTCTATTTTTGTTTGTTCTGTGTTTTGTCATTCTTTAAGTTTTACCAGAGACGAACTCCTTAACATTAAGCAGCACACCCCAGACAATATTTTTCAGTTTTGATTCAGACGTTTTGTTGGACATTTCAAACGCGCGTGCAGATGCAGAAGAGGGAAATGCACCGGCGCCCTGGTGAAGGTCCGCGAGCGCGGCATACGGACTGCACTCCCAAGCATTCTTCTCGCGAATATCTGTTTTGTTAGGAAGGGAACGGACAAACTTCTCACCCGCACCAACAAGGACTTTTCTAACTCTGCTTCACTGAAACCTGGCTGAGTGAAGCCATTCTGGACAAAGTGCTTCATCTGCTGGTCTACCAGCTGTTCAGAGCAGATCGCATCGCGGAGTTAACCGGGAAAACCAGAGGTGGTGGATTGTGTTTCTACATCAACGAAAGTTGGTGTTCAGATGTAACAATGCTGAAAAAGGTATGCTGCAACCCCCCTCCTTCCCTCCCCCACCATTCAACCTGTGCTTAAGGTCTGTGTAGAGGATGTGAACCGGGTCTTCAGGAAGCAGAAATATAGAAAAGCTTCAGGCCCGGATGGTGTTTCACCTGCCTGTTTAAAAGTCTGTGCTGACCAACTGGCCCCCATCTTCACACAGATCATTGGAGCTGTGTGACGTTCCCTGCTGCTTCAAATGCTCCACCATCATTCCGGTCCCCAAAAAGCCCAAAATCACTGGACTTAACTACAGAACTGTCGCTCTCACATCTGTGGTCATGAAGTCACGAGAGACTTGTCCTGGCCTACCTGAAGGACATCACTAGACCCTTGCTGGATCCTCTTCAGTTTGCCTACAGAGCAAACAGGTCTGCGGATGATGCAGTCAACATGGGACTGCATTACATCCTGCAACACCTCGACAGACCTGGGAATTACGCAAGGATTCTATTTGTGGACTTTAGTTCGGCCTTCAATACCATCATGCCTGACCTTCTCTCAGACAAACTCACCCAGCTCTCCGTGCCCACCTCCATCTGTCAGTGGATCACCAGCTTCCTGACAGACAGGCAACAGCTAGTGAGGCTGTGCAAACTCACATCCAGGACTATCACCATCAGCACTGGCGCCCCCCAGGGATGTGTACTCTCCCCACTGCTCTTCTCTCTCTACACAAATGACTGCACCTCTAAAGACCCCTCTGTCAAGCTCCTGAAGTTCGCAGATGACAGTCATCAGCCTCATCAAGGATGGAGAGGAGTCTGCGTACAGACAGGAGGTTAAAGAGCTGGCTGTCTGGTGCAGTCTTGACAACCTGGAGCTTAACATGCTCACAACTGTGGAGATGATCGTGGACTTCAGGAGAAAACCCCTTGCACCCCACTCACCATCATGGACAGCACTGGGACTGCAGTGGTGTCATTCAGGTTCCTGGGCACCACAATCTCACAGGACCTGAAGTGGGTCACTCACATGGACTCCATTGCAAAAAAGGCCCAGCAGAGGTTGTACTTCCTTCGCCAGCTGAGGAAATTTAACCTGCCACAGGAGCTGCTGAAACAGTTCTACTCTGCTATCATTGAGTCTGTCCTGTGTTCATCCATAACTGTCTTGTTTGGTTCAGCTACCAAATCAGACATCAACAGACAGTCATGACTGCTGAGAGGATTATTGGTGCCCCTCTGCCCAGCCTCCAAGATCTTTACATCTCCAGAGTGAGGAAAAGAGCTAAAATCACCTTGGACCCCTCACACCCAGCCCACTCTCTTCGAACCGTTGCCTTCTGGTCGGCGCTACAGAGCAATGACCACCAGAACAGCCAGGCATGAACTTATTTTTTTTTTATTTTTTATTTTTTTTCTCACACCGGTTATATTCAGCCTGAACAATTAATCTTTCATAATTATACATAGTTATATTTATATTAAACTGCACACTTTGTAAATAACATCTGTACATTTATCTAAACAATTACATTTTTTCCTATACTTCTATTTCTGTATGTCGTACATTTACTTTTTTTTATTTTTTTATATTATATTAGTGTTATTACACAATGTGTTATTCCTATGCATGTTTGTACTTCTACACTGGACGCTCCTGTCGTCAAGTCCAATTCCTTTTTGTGTGTAAACATACTTGGTAATAAAGCTCTTCTGATTCTAGTATCAAGACTCCAGGTTGCAGCTGTTTCTGGTTAATCACCAGTGTTGTTCCTTTGGGGATGAGGCCTACACGTTCTATTACAGTGATGCTGATTATCCCATCACAATGTGTTATTCCTATGCATGTTTGTACTTCTACACTGGACGCTCCTGTCGTCAAGTCCAATTCCTTTTTGTGTGTAAACCTACTTGGTAATAAAGCTCTTCTGATTCTAGTATCAAGACTCCAGGTTGCAGCTGTTTCTGGTTAATCACCAGTGTTGTTCCTTCGGGGATGAGGCCTACACGTTCTATTACAGTGATGCTGATTATCCCATCACAAAAGTGCTACAGGAGCCTGTGTATGTTGAGGTGCGCATTATGGAGAGGACCGATCCCAACATTGTCCTGATGCTGCTGGGCAACTTCTACCCCAGTGGGACCTTCTGGTTGATGGGTGAGTGTAATGCTAGTTTATCACGCAAGTCTGGGGCATTGCTAACCTCCCTTCAGATGCCCTTACCAGGATGACCGTTACCTGACCACATTGGTTCCAGTGACCGGATCATCTGGTCTCCAGTTCCCAACCCACTACAAGCGACATATTCGACCACAATATCAAAATGAAGATACTATGTCTGCTTTTGAAGAAATTGATAGCAAAATTTTGGAAGAAATAGTACAGCACCTTAAATCGTCAACATGCTATCTTGACACACTTCCCACATTTTTTTTCAAAAGGGTGCTTAACTGTTTGGAAGCAGATCTCTTAGAAGTGGTGAATGCCTCACTTCTTTCTGGGACTTTTCCAAACTCCCTGAAAACTGCAGTTGTTAAACCCCTTCTGAAAAAGAGAAATCTTGATAACACCATATTGAGCCACTATAGACCAATATCAAAACTGCATCACAGCACAGAGACAGCACTCATTAAGATAATAAATGATATTCGCTTAAATTCTGAATCTGGCAAAATATCAGTGCTGGTACTACTAGATCTCAGTGCTGTGTTTGATACTGTCAATCATAATATACTACTAGAGAGACTGAAACTTGGTCGGGCTTTCTGGCATGGTAATTAAATGGTTCAGGTCATACTTAGAAGGGAGAGGTTATGTGAGTATAGGAGAGCATAAGTCTAAGTGGACGTCCATGACATGCGGAGTCCCACAAGGCTCAATTCTTGCACCGCTCTTGTTTAGCCTGTATATGCTCCCACTAAGTCAAATAATGAGAACCAAATCGCCTATCACACCTATGCAGATGATACCCAGATTTACCTAGCCTTATCTCCAAATGACTACAGCCCCATTGACTCCCTCTGCCAATGCATTGATGAAATTAACAGTTGGATGTGCGAGAACTTTCTTCAGTTAAACAAAGAAAAAACCGAAGTCATTGCATTTGGAAACAAAGATGAAGTTCTCAAGGTGAATGCATACCTTGACTCTAGGGGTCTAACAACTAAAAATCAAGTCAGGAATCTTGGTGTGATTCTGGAGACAGACCTTAGTTTCAGTAGTCATGTCAAAGCTGTAACTAAATCCGCATACTATCATCTCAAAAACATTGCAAGAATTAGATGTTTTGTTTCCAGTCAAGACTTGGAGAAACTTGTTCATGCCTTTATCCCCAGCAGGGTGGACTATTGTAATGGTCTCCTCACCGGCCTTCCCAAGAAGACCATTAGACAGCTGCAGCTCATCCAGAACGCTGCTGCCAGAATTCTGACTAGAACCAGAAAATCTGAGCATATTACACCAGTCCTCAGGTCCTTACACTGGCTTCCAGTTATATTTAGGATTGATTTTAAAGTACTTTTACTCGTTTATAAATCACTCAATGGCCTAGGACCTAAATATATAGCAGATATGCTCACTGAATATAAACCTAACAGACCACTCAGATCATTAGGATCGAGTCAGTTAGAAATGCCAAGGGTTCACAAAACAAGGGGAATGTGCTTTTAGTTATTATGCCACCCGCAGTTGGAATCAGCTTCCAGAAGAGATCAGATGTGCTAAAACATTAGTCACATTTAAATGCAGACTCAAAACTCATCTGTTTAGCTGTGCATTTATTGAATGAGCACTGTGCTATGTCCGAACTGATTGCACTATATTATGTGTATAATCGTTTTCTTAAATTCATTTTAAACCTCTTAAATTTTTTTTTTTTTTAATTTTCAAAGTTTTTAAATTCCTTGTTTTATTGTTTTTATTTTATGTAAAGCACTTTGAATTACCATTGTGTATGAAATGTGCTATACAAAAACTTGCCTTGCCTTTTATTGTGAAGATGTTCACATTTGTAGATCCGGCATCACTGGCCCCTCTGCAGGAAACTGTATAATTGTCACGCAACCTTCAATTACATGCCTGAGACCTTAATTACTTGTCTTAATGTATGCCATGGTTAAACCCTTTGCTTGTCAGATCTTCATCCACTGTAGTACAGCTGCGTGCCACCCCTCATCTCTTGGATCCTGTGAGCAGAGTTGCAGCAGGAAAAGTGAGCGCTTAATCTTAACCTTCAGTTTTATTCCTTGTCATTTTGGTATGCTGTTTCTCTTCAACCTTCTTTTTGCAGGAAGGGATGTTCACATCAAGACTATCTCTAGCAGGGACACCATAGTTTCCAGTGGAGAAGTTACTTTGGTCATGTAATCCTGTATTAAGATGGCTGTTTTAATAAACTTGATTAAACCCTGAATCTGTTACTGTCCAGAGGTTGTTTGGGCTCACTTCACTATGGAGTTCTCATTTAGTTTGTTATTTAGCTACTACATGAGTTTATTTTAAAGTATGCTTTTCCCAGTAAACCAATCCTACAACGACTTGGTTTCTGAGTTTTTTTTTTTTTTTTTTTTTTTTTTTAAAATTTTTTGTTTCCTTTTTTTTTTTTTTTTT